ACAAGCATTAGAGTTTCTCCTGTACCAACAAGAAATCCATAGAATAAACAAAATGCCCAATAGTCTCCAATAATTGCTGCTAATATTGAACCAATAGTTGAAATAAAAGCACCAGATATTGTTGTCCATCGAACTCCATATTTTATAGTCAATATACTTGCAAAAACACTTAATATAGACATAGTAGCAATTTGAATAGAACCAGGAAGCGTCGATTTAAATGATGATAATTCATACGTAGTTCTAAATGAATCTTCAAAAATTCCTGTTGAAGAAATAAATCCCCATGTAATGACATTAACATAGAATGAAGCAGCACATATTACAAATCGCCATCGAAGACGAGTTAAATCAATTGTATCATGAGATAATTCGTTAGACATAACACGTGCTTATATTATTATTATGGCGCGTTTGATTTTATTTATAGTATTGTAACTATATGAAACAAAAATGATCGAATATAATCCACTCCTACATCCTCTATGATAATATTTATTATAAAAGTAATTTAATCGAATAGATAATTATTATTCTTTAATTAGAAAAAAAACGTTCGTTGTTAAAAAAAAATAGTTTCACAAAAAATGAATTAAAAATCAATGCTATTCATAAAATCATCAATATAGATTTCAAAATAAGTCATTGGAAAAGTTAAATATCAATTTTAAATATCTAAAAACGTTAAAAATCATTATAATAGAGAGTTTAGAATTTATAACTATTCTCATTCATCTATAGATGAATACATACATTCTTCTTCTTCTTCTTCTTCAACTGAAAAAGATGAAGAAGAACGAGAATAGTTGTTATTACTAACTGATTGTCCTCGTATATGATCTTGATTATCAATAAGTCTTTGTGTATCAGTATCCATATAATAATGTGATGCTACGAAGTTTTGAGGATATTGATCTGTTGTTCTATTTGGATTTGAATTTACTCTTGATAATCTAGAATAATCAAAAAAATATCGAAATATATATTTGTTTTTCTTTTATAAAGTTAAACTAACTGGCTATGATTATCATTTGATGGTGACGATGGTTTTTTCGTCAATTGAAATGTATGAGTTGTTGTATCACTTGCCATTTGGGATACCATTTTACGACCATCTACTTTTCCTATATGTTCAATGTGTTGAAAATTTGATGGTCTTGATATCACTGTACTTGGAGATGATATTGTCGGTTTTAGTTTTTGTCTTGGTGATATATTATTAGAAGAATTACGTGGTATATTAACAGATAATGTTTTAGAATTTTTCTGTGTTATATAGATTAATTTTGTACGATTTTGATCAATTTCTAAATCACGACAAAGTGAAATACTTCCATCAGTTGCTAATGGACATGTTCTTGATATTGTTAATGATTGTAACCATATACCTGATAATACATTATAAATATCAATTGATTTTTCTGTATAAATAAATAAATATGGATCAGAATAAGATGTTAATATTGGTAATGCTGGCCACATTAATTCTTGATGTCGTGTTCTCATGCCCGTTAAAAAATTTACATAAATACCTATTTTACGATACACAAGTAAAATTTCATTATTCGATGATGAATCTAAATAAATAATATAAATTATTTTAATTGAAGTTATATTCACTAACTAACTTTTCACAGATATAACACGTAAAATTTCCATAGGTCGTTCACAAAATATTTTCAATGTTGGATCTTTATCTCTTAATAGACTAATACTAAGAGATTGTTGATCAAGTCTCTGTGCCATAAATGTTGAAGAATAACCATACCAAAGTATTCGTTCTTTATCATTATTTATTTCTAATATTGATATATCTAAATATGTTACAATTTGTGTTGTATGTAAATCACATATATGTTTATATGAATATGGTTGAGGTCTTGAATATATTTTATAAATACAAAGACAATTCTTAATTGCAACACATAAAGTTAAAGATATAGGTTCAATTGTAAATAATGTTGCATTTTTTGTTTCAGGTATTTTACTATCAAATGGTGATTCAGAATGATTAAGTAAATGTTCAACAGATTTTATACGAATCATACGTTCTTTTCCAGATAATATAACTAATAATTGATTATTGGATATTAAAGATAATTGATAAACTTTTTTATCATGTAGTTTCGTAAATGCTATAAGAAAAACAAAATTAGAAAAAAAAAGATAAATAAAAAGTATTTATACATTCATCAATAGTATTGAATAAATGAAGACCATCTTCACTAGAAAGAAGAAAACGGATTTGATCTAGAATATAAATAGATTGAAATATTTTATTTGTTTTTGTTTTTTCGTCTGATTTTACCAAGAATAATAGCTGCTGTGATTTTTTTTAGATTTGTATTACATATTTCTATTGTTAGGAAAGATCCATATTCCTAAAAAAATAATAAAAAATCATCAGAAAATAAGATTTTTGTAAACTAACTGTTGGATTCTTTTCTTGAAGAGTTTTTTGTTCTTTTGAATGATTTGATAGCATATGAATATAATGCTCTTTTTCTGATGAATTATTTGCTAATATATAAAGATATTTTAGACGTTCTGGTATAGACATTTTTCTTCCACTAATCTAAATTAAATTTTGATTAGATTTATTGCAAAGAAACAAAGAATTGAATTTTAACCTTGAAAATATTTGCCATATCATTATCCGGAAAAAATTTTTGTTCTGGTAATGCTAATGAACAAGTATTAAATTTCTCATTAGCCACATCAAATATAACATATGGCTGTGGCCATGTTGTATTTGGATCAATTATTAAATCATAAAATAATATTTTTGAATCTATAATTAATAATTGACATTTCTTCCATTCGATTTTTGAACCAAAACTTTTTGGAATCTATTTATAAATATAATTTAAAAAAACTAATTTATAATTTGTAACATACTCGAACAATATGTTGATCAGATAAATTAATTCGATCTTTATTAGTTAATTGACATGGAGTTTGAATTTTTTCCATACAATCAGGATGACATTTTATTGAACAACCTAAAAACTATTTGTATTTGAAAGAATCAAAGTATATTAATAACTAATTTACGTTTACACATAAATCCTTGTCGAATAATTCCAACAAGTGCATATTGACAATAATGACATGTATTTGGCAAATGAAAATTAGCGATTGCAAAATCATGTAAAACATTCTAAAAAAACTAATTATTTCAAAAATATTTTTAATAAAAATATTTTACTGAACGAGGGATTAATGGTTGATCATTACTTGGTCTAGGTGACTTGAATTTAAAATAATAATTTTAAAAGAAAAAAAATTAAATAATAATCTTCTTACCAGGATTGGTGCAAGCAATGGTACAGGATTAACATGTGGTGGAGATTGATCTCTACCTGAAGAAGTTGTTCTTGCTTTATATTTTGATTGTTCGTCAAATAACTGTTTTTTAATTAATTTATTTTCTTCTTTTAAACGAATAATTTCGGCTTCGGATTTTTTTAATTTTTCTTCAATTTGTTGTCGAACTTGAATTTCTCTTTCAGCTGTTATTTTTAATTGTTGAATTTCCATATGTTGTAATTTTATTGAATGATTTAATACATGCGACTAAAAATAAATTAAATAAAAAAAATTATAAAAAAATAAATAAATTCTAACAATATTATTTCCATTTGTAGATATCGATGAAGTTGTACTAGTAATAGTAGATCGAGGATTTGTTAATTCTTCTAATTGATCAAGTTCCTCGATCATTCGATTTGCTGAATTTTTCAAACATAAACTTGCCGATCTATCTTCACTAATAGATTTATGAATTTTAGTTATCCATTTATAATATTTACGATGTTTTCTTTCTAAATTCATTAATTTTTCACTAAGATTCATTTTCTCATGTAATATTTTATTTATTTGTTTGTAAAGATCATTAAGAAGTAGATTAAGATTATTTAATACTGGATAAGTATCATATTCATATTCAATTGTTAAAGATATATCATCTTTACCATTATTATGAAAAAGTTGAGAAAATTCATCTTGAAATTTTGTTAAAAGAAGAGATAAGTCATTTAAAAATAATTTATCTTTATCATTTGAATTTTTCATTATTAATGATTTATAATTATTTATAAAATAATTTATTTGTTGTTCTAATTCATTTTTCATATTATCGATTCGTGGTGATAAATCATTTTGTTTTGGAACATATTCTTGTTTATTTGGATTAGGAAAATCTTGAAATAAATTTAATATTCGAGTTAAATACTCTATTTGCTCTTGTTTAGATCTTTCATATTGTTCAGTGAAAAAATCTCTATTTAATTGTATTTGACATTTTTGTTGAATGGAATCATGTTTTGTTTGATCATATAATTGACGTAAACGATTTAAATCCTCATGTAATGATGTTTGTTGAAGTTTTAATACTTTAACAACTTCTTCATGTTCATTATTCTCTGATTTTTTAGCTTCAACACGTGGTGAAGTACTGTAAACAACTATATTTGAAAAAAAATATTATAATAAAACTTTATGTACTCATATAAAATATAATATTACTATGTGAGCCAGATTCAATCGATGGAGTTTTCATTTTAGTTTTTGTCGAAGGAGAACGAGTGACTGTTGTAGGCGAAGTAGAAAACATTGGTACTGTTGTAGTACTATTTGAAAAAAGAAAATAGATAGAAAATGTAAAGTGTTCTATTTTTTTCAACTTACGTGTCTGGTGAATAAGTAAAACCTATAAAAGGTACTTGTTGAGGAAATCCACTATCAGATATAGACGCTTCAAAATCCTACAATAATTTATTTATTTAGTTGTAAGATTCAATGAAGAATATAAATATAAAGATATAGCAGACATGTACACACAGACTTGTTTTTTCTAAATATAATAGTTACCTTATCAGTTTTCTATGTAAACAAATGAAAAAGTCATGATATATTAAATATAATAAATAAACAGAATCAATATACTTTGATATATGTTTCAACATCAACATCATCAAAGCAAGTTGTATCTGTTGGCTTCTGTTTATGCGGAGGATACGGTGGTATTACTATAAAAAAAACAAAATTAATATTATTATTTTATTTTTCTATGGTTACATTGACGAAGATTATTCCAATTAATCGAAATAAAAAATGGATGTTTCTTAAAATCATCAATTCCGTTCTTTCCAAGACGATTACTTGCTGGACACAATAATTTTTCTAATAAATCTTTTGCATTGTCGGACACTTCAGTATCATCAGGAAATGACAGTGGAATCTATACAAATAAATAAATTAATAAAATATATTCATAAATATAATTCACCTTATTTCTACCATATTTCATGATCTGTGCATAAGTATCTTTTAAAGTATCAGAATAAAATGGAGGTTCACCAAATAACATCTCCCATATAACACATCCTAAACTCCACCAGTCACACTCAATTCCATAACGACCTTGACCATTATTCATTGCGTTCAATACTTCAGGAGATATATAATCTGGTGTACCAACAGCAATATTATTCTGTACCTAAATGAAAAAAAAAGAATAACTTTGAAAACTATATACAAATCATGTAATTCACTGTTCCATCAGCTTTCATGCGTAAAGATGAACCTGAAATAAGACATTGAATTTATTTTAAAAAAATCTATAGAATTATATTACCAAAATCAGCTAAATGAATATGTCCATCACTATCAATTAATATATTATCAGGTCTTTCAAAAGAATAAAGGGAATCAATTTTGAAAATCTTCTATAAAATATACAAATACTTTATGTCTCGATGAATATATCCAAGTTTATGTATGGAATCAATTGCTAAGATCATTTCAGCAACATAAAATCGAGTTACTTCTTCAGTGAATTGATTATCATGTCTGGATAACAATGTTAATAGATCACCACCACAATAATATTCCATAATAAGATACTAGAAAGAAAAAAATATATTTTCAACAAGCATTTTTTTATTTTTAATACTAATTTATACTAAGTTTTTATGATCTTGAAATGCATAATATAATTTTGTTATCCATTGAGGATCACCGGATACAAGAATATCATGCTCCTCACGAAAACAGACTGTATCTGCTTTTCTTAACATTTCCGATTTACTCATTACTTTCATTGCAAATATTTTCTCTGTATTTTTCATTTTTACAACAATAACTAAAGATTAATATATGTGATAAAATAATACAATCAATAGTAGACAAATACCTTCACCAATAGCACCTCTACCAATAGTTTTAATTGTTTCGAAATCATTTCGATTAATGCGATTTTGTTTTATACGAGATATAAATGTTCTAACTAGAATAAACAAATTAATAGTCAATATACATATAAATAAAATATGAATTGTTACTATATTCAACAAATCCTGTTATTGCTGTTTCTCGTTTCCATTTAGTACTACAACATTCATCATAAAGTACAAGCAATGCATCGAGTAATCCATCAATATTTAATACAGTTGAATCATTTATAGAATAATTTAATATGAGGCGTTTGATTTCTTCAGAACGAGATTCAACATTGACGATATTTTTTTCAACCATTTTTTAAATCATTTGGTGTTAACAGAAATAATAAAACTCAGACTGATGTAAGAAAAAAAATGATATCACTCCCGATGAGTCAGTTGTTATCTTTAAGATATTATTTACGATGTGTAAAAAGCAGTCCAAACAAAATTTAGAATAGCATAGATTAGATAAAAGTCTGATGTAGTCGTTGGAAGAAAACTTAAATAAAGTAAAATTTTGTTTGACAACAATATCTTGATATGATATTACTTAAAGTTAAATAACAAATATCTAACGACAACTAAGTTTTCTCATTTATATTTATTTCTCCAATAATATCAATTGATAATTCCTTTCCTTGATATAAGACTGTAAAATACCAGCCAACTATTGCATACTAATGTTTATATTTTTTCTTCATGACAGTTTGTATTTATCTTTTCTACTATTTTTTATGTTCATTAACATCAAACTGCAATAATATAGAAATTTCTTTACCTAAATTGAATTAATAAGAAAAGAAGTGTGGGTGTATCTCATTTTTCTGATCCACATCCACATATGAGATGGATAACTATTTTTAGTTAACCTGCATCTTCTTAAAGTTCAATATTTGTAATCATTTCTTGATAATGTCTAAAACAAATAAAAAAATTATAATTTACTCAACTATGACGCTCAGTCAAGGGGGAAAAAGCGAGACTTCATCTACTTCAAAACTTTTTGAAGTACGATGGGAGTACGATAGGAGTACAGAGAAGTACAATGGGAGTACGATGGGAGTACAAGGGAGTACGAAGGGAGTACAGAGGGAGTACAGAGGGAGTACAAAGGGAGTACGGAAGTCTCGCTTTTCCCCCCTTGAACAAGCAGCACATTCTATATGGAAAGAAATATAAACATTAGAAGATGCTAATATACTTGATATTATTTTTAATCAACAAACAGCAGGATCAGTTATGAGAGTAACACTTGCACAATTTTTGTTGCTTTACAAAATATATAGAACTATTCGTTTTTCATGTTAATATTTTACTCCTGATTCTATAAATTTTTTTTAATCATGGAATTCAATTATAATTTCTCGAGGATAAGTGAGGATGAGAGTATACATAGATAACACCCTCACCCTCACCCTCACAACGACAAAATAATAAAAACTTAGGACTCTTTTATGTCATGATGTTTCGCGATCATAAAATTCGTGACGAGAAAATATAGTATTTAAAATGATCTAATTTTCAGTGTTTCAAAAGCTAAAAATACTTTTCTTATTTACGATAAATATGAAAATATTTCAATTTTTACATGAGAAAAAATAACAAGATTAGATCTAAAGAAGATTTTCATGGAGTAAGTTTTAGTTAATTTTAAATTTTATAAATCATTATATTAAAGTCAATTAATGTCAGGTGAATTATTAAATCAAGATCTTTTTAATGCACAAGTTGAAACTGATATTTCTATATTTCAAACAATAACAAGATCAAATTTTCTTCGTTCATTAACGTCTATGCGTTCATTTATAAATAGAAATGAACTTTTGACTACTTCTTTAATATCTGCTACTACAAGTGTTTCACATGATAATACAGTCACATCATATGGATAAGTTTAATCAATAACAAAAATTATTGTTGATTTTTGTTTTGAAAAATTTCATTTTGACATAGCACTATTTGATTGACAAACTTATCCTCCTCATTTCTGATTATTCTAGTTTTCTGCTATTCATTGAAGATTTCGAATTTCTGGTTATTCAATTAGGATCGAGCCATATATTTCTTAGTAGTGATTGATAAACTCCAATATACTCTATTGTGTTGATTTAGCTTATACAAGTCATAGAACAATTTTGATTTTTCAAATTTGAGCATTAGTATTAATTTTAAATGAGTTTACTTCTTTTGCATATGATGTCATACATTGTTGTACTGAAATAAGAAATATATTCATGTACATTCTACTGTCGATTTTGTAAGTATAATGAAAGATGTTTTTATAGTTTATGCACATGGTGAAAATAAATGTGTTGTAAACTATGAAAACAATGAAAAACAAAATATATCTCAGGTAACGTCACATGTGACGAAAATATTTCATGTAAATAAAACCATGTACAATCTAAAGTAAATACGACGTTATAAAGAAAAAAAATAATAATCTCATCACACTAGTATGGAATTAAATGAGTCTATGAGTAATACTTACATTATTGGCGAAAATTGTTTATCAAGTTTTTGATCATTGAAATTACACTAACACATATACATAAAGAGCATCTCTGATCTCCTGTCTATATTCTTCATCAAAAGAAACTTATATTCAATATACTTATACTTATTTTCATTAGATCTATTTTTTATACAATAATATTCATATAAATTTGTTTGTATCTATCTTGGATTTTATTTTGATAAAATTTTTGTCTTTTTGTTTGATATTTCATATCGTTAATATTAGGAAAAATAATACAAAATAATGTGCATATTCCGTTCGTTGAGTAGATCTTATTGACTGATTTAATTATGTTAAAAAAATATGATGAAGTTTAAATACATGTAAAAAGACGTTATCAATTAAATCTTATTACGACGGAAAAATAAAAATTAATCATTATAAAAAATAATTTGTTTTGATCAACTATTATCGATAAAAGGTCGCCATGTCTTGTGTCCTGTATTTCATAGGCCTGATAAAATATTCCAAGGTGTGTACGTGTATATATTGTAGATTCTTTACATATACATAAAAAGGATATATACATGCAATCAATATTTTTCATTGGTGAATAGATAATTAACCAATTGCATCTCCTTACTTGTACGTTGTTTCAGTTAACAAAAAATGCATTAGAAAAAGATTAACGATTTTTTTGTTGTCGCATATATGAAAAATATTCGATGTGAATCTAATCAATCATTTTCGAATTGTACATCACAATTCGAGACGTTTTCTTTTCATCGAAATAAATACAAAGGTATCTCAGATATAAAATATATTGACATTTGTTATTCTCAATACTTCATTCTTTTTAAAATTTCTGACGGTTAGTATCATAGTTATTTTTTATTAATGTTAATGAGAAAGATAGTATAGTGTTAGAAAAAAACGAACCATTTCTCCATTATAAAATACCTATTGTTCGATTGACTCATGTATTATAAACTTTCTATCATCAATATTTTCATTATCTTATGATGTATATACTGTTTTATGAAATATACTATTTTTTTATAAACATTTCATCAGTTTTAGATTTTACAAAAAAGTATTTACATACATTAATAAAGAAAAACAATGGATTATTTAGTGCTACAAAATAGACCATCAACGGAAAACGCTCTTACACAAACTGAAGAAATAGGTATACCACTTGTCAGCAAAAATGTTCGAACACAAACAGAATTAACAACAATTGGAACTGATAATGAAACAATGCAATATCGAAGAAAATCAAAAAGGAGATCAGCCAAAGTCATTAGTGATCCATCAAGTCTTTTGATGAATGTAACATATCAAAACATCGATGACAATGATACAGGTAGTCGAAATTCAGAACTCTTACCAGAACTATTAGAAGAAGATGCAAATAATTTCAATGAAGACTCTGCTGACACTGATCAACGGAGAGGAGAATCTAATGGAACAGGACAAAAACTAACAGATACCAGTACTCCTGATGAAACAGAACCGTCAACAGAACCTATACTTGACTATGCTAATGAACCACTTTTACCACTTGCTGAAGCATGTGCTCCTCTTAATGATATTCTACATAATATATCATTTTATGTTAAATTAGCATTAGAAGAAACACCTTCACCACCACTTGATAATCTTACTGTTGATGAAAGTGCTGCTATTCGTTTATATACGATTGAATGGGATCGACCACATCGAAGTCTTTATTCATCGCTTAATTATACTCTTAAAACTCAACCTCGTGAAAAACTTATACCTTACCACAAATATATGAAGTTATTCATCACTGCTCTTGTCAAACTTCCATGTGTTCCTCCTTGTACTGTTTGGAGAGGAGTGACACAAGATTTGAGTGCAGAGTTTCCACCTGGCACTCCTGTCACTTGGTGGGCATTTTCATCTACTACAACTGAATTAACTGTACTAGAAAATAACATGTATTTGGGTGCTAGTGGAAGTCGAACTCTATTTTCTGTTGAAGCTATAAATGGTCGAACTATTAAAGCACATTCACATTTTGTTACTGAAGATGAACTTCTTCTTCTCCCTGGTACTTATATGGTTGTTCAATCACTCTTTAGTCCAGCACCTGATCTTAATATCATTCATCTGAAACAAGAGATACCTAAAGATGTTTTATTACAACCACCATATGAAGGTATTGTGCATGACTTTTAATTATTTCTTATGAATGAGAATATCTGTTTTAATTTAGGTGCACATATTTTTCCAAAACTAAAGTAAGTCTAGTTATATCTATCATTTTCAGAGGATTATTTTTATGTAACTTCTTTTGTGATATATTTGAAGACGTTCATGGTATAAAAAGAAAAGATTTGCTATTCCATTGGTTTTGTCAATTATAGCAGTTATTACGGCAGCTATTATTGGTGTTGTTATGGGATTAAAATCTGCAAAGAGTGGTAAGTTTTTCACAGATTTCTCCAATTGCAGTAGTGTTCTGCAAGATCAGTGATTTCATGGTCTCGATCGTAATCACTACTTTCTATTGTTTTATTCTAGTACAAGTATGCACAGCACCATATGTAGGAACTGTAACTTACTTTCAAACTGGTAACTTTCCAACTTCTGGCATCGTGGGCATATTCGATATCGATACGAACTTAGATATCATCGTAGCAAATCAACAAGATGACGAAATTGTTTTATTATATGGTGATGGACTAGGGAATTTTCCATCGCAGTCCAAAGTTAGAACTCTTCCACAACCTGTCTCAGTAATATTTTACGATTTGAACAATGATGGTTCATTAGATCTCATAATAGTGTATGAGGGTGATAATAGTGTTGGTGTGCGACTTGGGAATGGTGATAGTACCTTCCAAGAAAGAATTACTAACCCAGTTGGTAAACGACCAGAATCTGTAACAATAGGTGATTTCGATCTTGATGGTACACAAGACTTAGCAGTAGTCAACAGTGTTGATAATACTATTAGTATTCTTATTGGAATCGGATTTGGAAAATTTGCATCGCAACAAGTTTACCCTGTTGGTCATAATCCAATCACAGTATTAGCAGGAAATTTCAATAATGATGGCCTACCTGATCTTGCTGTTGTTAATACTGGTGATAACTCTGTCGGCATACTTTTTGGATATATGAATGGAGAAAATGTAGGTTTGATGCCTCCACAAACGTTTCAAGTTGGTTTATATCCAAGAGGTGGCATAGTAAATGATATTGATAATGATAGTCATCTCGATCTGGCAACAGTTAACTATAATGCTGCATCCATCAGTATCTTGTTTGGGTATGGAAATGGTAGTTTTGAACCACAAAGGATATATTCTGTTGGTAATAGTCCACGTACTCTGACCACATATGACTTTAATAATGACTCCATTTTGGATCTAGCTATAGCAAACTATTTAGATAATACAATCAGCATACTAATTGGTAGTGGAAATCGAACCTTTCAACCTCAAGTAATTTATAGTGCTGGTCAAACTCCATATAGTATCATATCAGATAATTTTAATAATGATAACATTAGAGATTTAGCAGTGACTAACTATGGAGTAAATACTATCAATATATTGTTTGGTATAGGTAATGGTACTTTCCAATCACCACAGTCATATCCTGTTGGTAATGTGCCGGTATCTATTACATCAGGTGATATTGATAATGATGGTGTGGCAGACATTGCAGTAGTTAATTATGTTGAGAGTACTATTAGTTTATTACTCGGTGACAGCAATACATCTTTTCCAATAAATCCAAGGTATGGCACTGGTAGTCAACCAAGTTATATAGCAGCAAATGATTTTAATAATGATACTATTGTGGATCTAGCAATTACTGACTATAATGATGGATGCGTAAGCATTCTTCTTGGCAATAAAGATAAAACATTTCCAACTCAAACAAGTTATTTAACTGGTAACATACCGATGTCGATCGTAGCTGGTAATTTTTCTGGTAGAATTAGTCCGGATCTCATAGTGGTCAATTATGCTGATAATAATATTGGCCTATTGTCCAATAATGGGTATGGAATCTTTCAACGTGCAAAATTTACTTCAGTTGGCAGCAAACCCATTTCATTGATAGCAGGTGATTTTAATAACGATAACAAATCAGATGTTGCCGTCTGTAATGCAGGCAATAGCAGTATCACTATATTATTTGGTAATCAAGCAGGAAGCTTTAGCCATACGATAACATTCAACATTAGTGTTATTCCATACTCGATCATATCAATGGATTTCAACAAAGACAATAAACTAGATTTAGCTGTTGTTAGCCAATTCAACAATACTGTTATCGTACTATTCGGGAATGGAGATGGTAATTTTACATCTTCACAAAGCTATTTTGTTGAACAAAATCCATATTCAATTACATCAAATGATTTTAATAAAGATGGTAATCTTGATCTAGCAGTAGTCAGCTACAATAGTGGTACTGTTAATATATTGTTTGGATCTCAAAATGGTATTTTTAAATCCGGTCAGAAGTATATAATTAGTTATGGAATATGTTATATAATATCGGCTGATGTCAATAATGATACTTTCATTGATTTGGTAATTTCTAATTGTTTCAATAACTCTATCACTATTCTATTTGGTCAGTCAAATGGATTATTCGCTAATAATATTAGTTATACAGTTGGTCTCTCTCCAACATCAATTGTATCGGGTGATTTTAATTTCGATGGACAACTTGATCTAGCAATAGCTTGTTTTAATGACAATACTATCAGCTTATTAATTGGAAATGGCAGTGGAACCTTTCAGCATTTACCTGGATATGGAACTGGTTTAAATCCTATTTGTCTCGTATCAGCTGATTTTAATAATAATTTAAGGCTTGATCTGGCGATAGTTAATCAAGGTATTAATTCCATAAGTTTAATGCTTAGTGATGTTAATCGAATCTTTCAAGCACGACGAACAATCAACACTGGCTGGAAGCCTGTATTTGTCTTAGCAAATTATCTCAATAATGATAATATATTAGATTTAGCTGTGGTGAATCAAGACGACAACTCTATCAGTATTCTATTAGGTGATTCAAATGGTTTCTTTCAACTTCAAAATACTTATACGGTTGGAAAAACTCCATCATTTATGTTGGCAGGTGATCTAGACAAGGATGGTATACAAGATCTAGTTATAATTAACAAAGGTAATAATAGCGTAAGTGTCCTTCTTAACAATAGAACTGGAATCTTTCGATCATATATGAACTATACAGTTGGTGATACACCAATTTCTGCTGTATTAAATGATTTTAATAATGATAACAATTTAGATTTAATAGTGACCAACTATCTCAGTGCCAGTTTGTCAATATTTCTTGGAAACGCAGATGGTACTTTTTCAACTATGAAAAATTATATTATTGGTGGATCTCCTTATGCTATTGTTGCACTCGATTTTAACGATGATGCAAAACTAGATCTTATAGTGACCAATTATATTCAGAATACTTTTAAATCGTTAGTGGGCTATGGTGATGGAACTTTTAAGATAAATATCGATCGTCAAACTGGTGTAGATCCAGCTTCACTAGTCATTGGCGATTTTAATAATGACAAAATGGTGGATGTTGCCACAATTAATACACTTTCTAATAATATTGGTGTTAGACTAAACTTGTGCACTAAAGAAAACTAAATATCACTATTCATTCTATTTGAGAATCAATATCTTTTATGAACTATAGATTTTCATTGTCTCTTTTAATAATTTATTTTTTTATTATATTGAATCTTGTTAGAGAGCACTCTAACAAGTTAAATCTACCTAATGATTCTATTAATTTCACTCATTCTGTTTTTTTTAATGGATTCATACTGATATGCTGACGGTAAATCGCTAATTACGTAAATGCAGAGAAATCTAATTGACAAGACTTTATAGACTTTCTTTATATTGTAGAATATGATCAAGCGAATTTAACGTTATCTTAACAATAGTTAAACAAGAATGAATAGGAAAAAAAATATATCGAAAATTTAAATATATAATATCAAATGCATTTATTTCGATTAATGCAACAACCAGCAACATATTTATCTTTTAAGAATATGAATAACGAATTTAGTACATTTAAAGATAATATTTTAGTATGACATTGATTGAATCTAATGAATGTTGTTTCATAAAACTTTCGATGTAAAAAATTTAGCATATTTTAATTTGATAACGTTTAGTACAGCAAATTTTGAGTTCATAAAAGGTTTAAAGAGTACATATAGAATAGTTTCTATCTTCTTGTCGTACTTATACTTACTATCCTAACATTTTATAATCACTCTTTTGATAATTCTCATCATTTTCTTCACTACTACGTAGATATTCTTTATTATTGATAGTTTCTTCAACTTCTTGTTCGTTATCAACAGTTTTTCTAAACGTTCAATTCTTTAAGTATAGAGATAAATATTAAAATACCTATTTTTATGAGCCATTTGAAAAGTATTATTTATGAATATTGAAAAATAAAACTAACTTTGTCTATATATATTTGATTAAGATGATTCATCTTTTCAATCATTACCTACTTCTACTAAATGACTACATTTATTTTACTCGTTCTGTTCAATTCGAACTATTTTTTTTCATGCTGTACATTATTTACTGATGCATATTTAGTCTGAATGTGAACTAGAATTGAATATAAATTAAGAGTATATTAGTTTTCGGTTTTCATTGAGATAATATCGTTCTATTCATATCAATATTCTGACAACACGACGCTAATATACATCAACTATGTATTAGATTTATTGCTTGTAAGAAAAAATAAACTGAATTTTTAGAGATTGTTTTGATTCCAATTCAATTTTTCTCCTCTGTGTTTTTATATAATATACATTAAATCTTACAAAATTACACTCAGTTTTTACTTTTTTTAATTTTATTAATCACGATTAACTCAGTAAATAATGAAAGTTTTTATTTTCATATGGCTCTCAATATAACCAATTTACGACATTTTGATGAGGGCGCGGCAAATCTCAAATTGTAACCAATTTTGAATAAACTTCTACTTCTGATTTCTGCTTTTTACCAGAAATTTACTAAATTGCTTCACTTTATATTACTCAGAACTCTATTTCTCCATGTCACTCTATCATAAAACGATGCAGAATGATTTCACCATAATTGGTAATATAGTCTCACTGGAAAATAACAGCACACTGGAAACAGCAATTGACTTAGATATCCAAAGTCTATTTTTGTTTTAAAATTTTCAAACTTCATCTAAACGAATATTTCATTTCAATATTACTCATATAATGGTCTCAATAGTAATCAAAGAAGAAGAAATCGGAAGTCTATTCTCCTTGAGGGTGGGGTGTAAGTATGAACGCAACTAGAGACTTAACAAGTAAGAGTACACCAAGTATAGTACTTCAAGTACGCACCCTAAGTGCTTTTATTCTTGAGCACAACCCGATGTTACCATAGTCTTAAATAACACTTAGGTTTAGGGGCTCCGATTAGGAGAGTCTATGGTTTAATTATTTCAAATTGGGTTTTTGAAAAAACGATACCCTTCTTAAACAAAGAGTGGGGAGACTACGAAACTAGGAAAATCTTGAGGATGCAGTGATGTTCAACTGGAGAGTTAAATCCAAGTATAGAGGTACTCCTTGAAGTATTCAACTGCTATAGTTATATAACTAAACTTTTTCGCTATCCAGGTATTTTGCGCACTGTTCCGACCATCTGCACTCTTTCTCACACCCACCCTTACCTTCAAGTACTGTATTTAAGTAAATTAATACACAGTATCACTACACGGGTACAATGTCTAAGTACAAATACATTTACTTGTGCCGAAAAATGTTTACTTGTACTTGAGATTTTCAAGTACAAAGTAGAGAAACTATCAAGTATTTAACTAAGCATCCTGTCTCTGACTGCAAGACTACAATAGATATCTACAGCTACATCCACACTTTCAATACGAAAAAAGTAAATATCTGATTACTGGTTCTCTGTTTTGTTTCAAACTACATGATTCTAAGTAACGACTTATATAATTACATACATCTTTGCTTATCTATGAATTTTTAATAAATGATACGCATTTTTAACTTTTACAAATTTTCAAGAATTAAAATTTTGAATAATTTTGTCATGCACACTTCAAAATTTGTATCAGTTTAATATTTGCCATCCCATGAAAATTAAAATATTTCATTTGAAAAAAACGAGTGAAAATCTGTGTCTAAATACAAATCAATGATCAAAATATTTTCTTGTGTAAAAGTCCTTAAATAGTTTTAATTTTATTTAAAAATGAAAATTTTTCGAAGGTTAACTGGTTTATTTAAAAAAGATATAAGAAAAGGAACAACTGAATTAAATTGATTCAATCAAATAAGATTAAATTCATTAAAACAAATTTTATTTAGAATAATAAAAAATAACAATTCAATAGAAATTTGGTTTCTTAAGATTTTTACTTTTAATTAAAGGAAATTTTTCTGCTTTTTCTCTTATTTAATCTAAGAAAATCTTAAATATATACCAATCATTATTTTTAATATATTTAATAGATTGTTTTCAATTCTGATCACAAATATTATTATGAAAAGCATGGCTTTATGCTATTACAATGATTTTTCTTTCTTTCTTTTATCAAGTTTTATATATATAATGAAGTAATTTGACTTTTTCTCTTATTTTTCTCATTTAAACTTTTTATTTATGTAAAAGTATATTATAATTTGCTAAAATTATCATTGAAAATGCATATTACTTATGAAGGTATACTTTTTTCAGTGTAATAAAGTATATAGAAAACACTCATTTTATTTGCGTTGTGTATTGTAACTATATATTTGGGATCGAGTGTATATGAAGAGGCGGCGCTGTCTATCTGATGCGTTTTTTATAGCCATATTTACGGTACTTAATTAGAGATTATAGTATAGTATGAAATTGTTTATGATTATAACTCACTGTTTAGAATGGCATGTATTTTATAAACAGTGAATTGATTTACTGTTCGTTAACTAATTGATTAACATCAAACAGAAGGTGTCTTCAGAAAGAAGAAAATCGAGAAAAGAAATATTGGTTAACATATGATTTGTTACAATAAAATCTTCAGATTCGAAATGCCATTTTGTGATGAAATCACAATATCTGCTAATGTACGAATAGATGAGAGATAGATACTTAATAGCTCGCCGTTAGAAAGGTCGCCTTAATATTATCCGTCACGAATAGGAGCATGAAATAATCGATCTTTAAAGAGTATTTGGTTTGGAACTCATTAGCATGGTTGATAACTGAGAATCCGTGAGTTTATGCAGAATTTCATATGGTGACTATTGTGTTGTACGTTGACACCATAATAAAGTGAAAAGAGTCGCATTAGTTTTATTCAATTTGTATATTCGCTAGAAAACTTAGGAAAACATATTCTGAATCTTGCGAGTGTGGGTGGATGTGAGGCATAGATTTTGCGTTCTCCTCTTACGCACGCACATCCTCACTCACATCCACATGCACATCCACCTTTAAGATTAACAACAGCATTGATATTAGGACTGAAAATAGTATCAATAATAATAATTGTATCCATAACCAGTTGAATAATAATAAAAATCATCTGACGAATCAGCAGTCAATTTATAATAATGAAACTAACCATATACATTTAAATAATAATAACAACATCGACTAAGACAAAAAATAATGTAATATTGAGTTATTTCGGTAACGAATCTTTTGCATTTAGTAGAAAATTCACAAATTTATTGAGAAAAACACAACTTGAATGTTACAGTAATTTTCAAAAAAACAAAACAGTAGGTGGTAGTTTTATTAGTAATGTTAAAGGAAGAAATGAAAGTAAAGTGGTGTTATATATAAAATTAACTGTGCAATTTATGACAAAGTATATGTGGGACAAGCTGGTAAAAGAATCAATGAAAAAATTAACCAACATATAGGTAATATAAATAATCCTAAATCAAATTATAGCAATCTGGTCTATCACACAAAAACGTCATTTTAAATTTGAAGAAGCATCAATATTAGGACAAGGTAAAAGAATTTTTTTTCTATTTCCAAGAAATGATTGGACAACAGCGTACTTGTTTTTTGCTGTTTATTTTTATGTGATCGAATATCAGTTTGTATGCAACGTCGATAATTGATTTGTTTTAACTGTTTCACCTCCTATAATATTCTTTTTCGTTTTTTGCTTGAATAATATATTCGTAGTAAATATTACCGCAATTTATGAGAATTGGTGCTATACAACATTACAACAGCATGGCATACTACGTCCCTCTTCATTTTTAAAATCAGGATTTAATAAACCAAGTTTATGTATTAAAAAACGATCGTACTGCAAGCAAAACTGCTCACACAAGCGTATTAATGGACCTAGCAGGCGCAACAACAGCTACCAACATTAAAGGTACGTTATATCAACTCGTAGCTAAAAGCAATGATCGCTGGAATACTGCTTCCTTCAAATCTCCGGAATTATCTGAAACCGACAGGTTCCGGGCCGGATTGTTTGACCTGGGAATATCTCAATAATCTATAGGTAAATAAATCATTTTTTACTTTCATGAGCACAATACTTTTTTTAGAGTCAAAATGGCATTCATCGAGAATTAATAAATCCGCAAATAACAGTTGCTTACAAGCAATTTATTCTACATGTGCTGGTAAGGTTCATGATTTTTATCATTTTTTTAATGTTTTCTTTTAGACAAGTTCATCGTATTCTCACATGGCTGAACTATATGAACAAAAATGGAGTGCAAAAAAAAAGTCTAAAGTGTCAACGGTTACACCCACACCCTATAATTTTTCTCTCATGTCGTTTTATTATAATTTTCTTAAGTTTCTTCTTCATAATGGTGAAGGTTATCACCGAAAGTTTGAATAAAATAAAAGCCTTTGAATTTTGAAAAAGTTCTGTGTATTTTATTGCAGTCATTTACTAGTATGAAGGTTCTTAAGCAATATATAAACTGCAACATAAGTTCAAAACAATACATTTCTTTAAGTTATTGTTGCGTCATACTCATTCTCACTAGAGCAGTTTATCTCTTGAATTAATCTTGCCTATAGATAATTTGATTTTGTTTTCAAATTTCAGTTGAAACCAAACACTAACTTTTAAGTGCTTCGAAGAGAAAATTCTCCAACTGCTAAGAAAGTACATAATTGTTTCTGAAAGATAATATTGGATATATAAAAACTCAATCATTCAGCCATGGATGCAGTGAGTCGAAGCAACGTGCATTACTTGTTAGTACAAAGTTTAAGTTTATTCCATTAATCAATCTACAGCAAAAATAAGTCTATAGTTTTTATCCTCTCTAGCATTTTTAGAATCAAAATTCAAAATACAACATCTTGAAACTAATAAACTATAATAATGTACAGTTGACTTTATTCAATTTAAATAAATAAGAAAATAAAATTACAAGAATATACATATATACATATATACATGTGTTATTTTTTAGTTTGTACATTGTAGTTCTGAACCATAACGAGCCAATGTACCACTAGTTTTATCGGCTAAATAAAGCTGATATTGATTTGTAATGACTATATCATATAACGTTGAATAAGTTGAAGTCAAATTCCATGCATATAACAATGAACGTGAATTTATATCATATATTCTAACTCCAAAATTAACAAATGCTGCCCACATACGATTACATCCATCAAATGTCACTGATGTTGGAGATTCGCTACTAGTTGCACTCGTAGCAAATAATGTAAAATTATATGGTGAAGTAGTTTTTAACTGCCAAATATTACCTCCCCATGATCCATCAGTAATATAAACAAAGCTGTCATTATTAGATGCTTTGCCAAGACCATATGCATTCGGTATTGGAAGTGTAATCGATTGATTTAATGTATTTGATGGCCAGTTATAAAAGTTAGCTTTCGAAACACTCGTTGGATTCGTTTGTGTAAGAACACATACAAGTGTATTGTTAAAAAGCCAAATAATACGTTGTGGTCCTCCTTGAGTAAAATTCATATTTCCAGTTTTTGTTAAGTTTAAAGCTGAATAAACATAAAGTGTATAAGGTGTTGCAGCAGGAAAGATTCCAACATAAAAAGAATCTTGAGAATAACTAATTGCTTGAGATCCTGGTGGTAGATTAATACTTGAATTCACGAAGCTAAAAGATGTTGTAGATACAAGTTGAAGTTTTGATGAAGCCACTGTAGCTAATCTGTTATTGTTACTATCAAGAGCAAGACCAGTAATTGAAGAAATATTTAAAGAATTCATTTTGGATTTCATTTGTGTAATTAACCATGTTAAATTAGAACAACATGGAGTATATTGTACTAATAGTTGAAGTAAATATACTGTCACATTTGAGTTGTTAATGATTTGAAATGGATATGATGATAGATTTGAAAATAGTTGACAAGATAAATTCAATGGAAAACTGTTAAAATATTCAATTGAAGGATATTGAAGAGAGTAACATAAACACTGCGACCATGTAGATTGATTATATAACCAGATCGAAGGTGCATTGGTCACTATTTGTGCTTGTTGTATAGTACCAATCTTTATGCAGTTCGCATTAACGAATAGTATTCCAAATATAAGAAACAGCATGATCATAATGAAATGTATTCTGACGATAATATTTAGTATATATATATATGTAACAGAATAGTTTAAAATACTTTTTTTTCTAAAGCATCACGTTTTTAAACACATGAGGTAAGTAAGTATGTTTTTCTGTTATATAATATCGCATTGCAAGAACATTTTCACTCAATATTAATGTTATTTCAATAATAGTTTATACTCTATGAGCGATGACATAATGATGAAGACATAAATAAGTACAAAATAAAGTTCAATTGATTCCCATTATATTGATATGCTTAATGACAAAATGATACTTTAGACGCACTTCTCTTACTTTTAAATAAGGCTATTTCTATATTCACAAAAATATTATATACTTTTATACTCAAAAATAACAACCCATCATCACAAAAGAAGCAGCTAATTATGTCAAATAATGTTTTATATGTAACAATTATTACATATTCAAAAACATCAGAAGGGCTTCAAGTAAACGATTCAAAAGAAAAGAAATGTTACATTTCTTTTTTCACATCCTCAAATCACAGTACAGCAGATATTAAAAACAAAATCTATCAATTTCTATTTGTAAGAATAAAATTTGCAGCATTGGATACAAAAGTATCGTTTCAGATTTTAAAAGAACATACTTTTTAAATTAGTTTTTGTATGTCGATAAGAAACTGAAAAGAGTTAACGACAATTTTCTTGTCAATCAATTCATCTGTAATCTCTATACTAATCATGAAGTTGAGTAATTATTTCAGTTAAATTAAGATGAGAATTATCAAAATAGACAAAAGTAAGGATCCGTGTGCATCTGTTTGCTGAATTGAAATCTTAATAATAGAGAAAGTTAACACTTAGAGATACTCAATTAGTTGTAGCAATAGATCATACACTAATTTATTCATATACTCCTCACTATTGTATCACATTTTCATTTGAAGTTATAGTTACAAAACAAAACTTTGAGAAGCGTTTAAAAGTACTGCATTGTAACAAAATGTAAGTATTGTTGTTGTTCACGTCTGTATTTTTTCAATAGATAAAAAAATCATGGAAGATCTATTTGTGAAAAGGAATGATGTTCAAGCTACACTTTAAAAGAAATTACACTCTATCCAGTTAAGTGAAAGTCAGATCAAAACTTATGAATACATGCTTGATAATTAATTTTGTCTTTACAAAAAGTTCAATATATTATATTTAATAACAAAAAGTAAAATAAAACATTAAATACTGTACAATAGTAACAAGAAAAATACAAGAAGAAAGATTAACAATTTAAAAAGGTCTAGGTTCTATAACAAGACTATAAATTCTTGGTGACTGAAAAGTTGGTATCACTTTGTTTTTATATCGCCAAAAAAATAAACATAAACGAATGCATGTTAATATACATGTTATACAAAAAATCAACCGAACAGACCAAATGACATCGATCGATGAAGACAACTCATCGTGTTGACGGAAAACAATTCCTCCTAAAAGCCATATAAAAGCAAACCATGGTGATAAAGTAAATGCAAGTGAATTATAGAAAATTATATTTTCAAGAATAGAAAGTATCAAAAGACCAAATAGAAGAACAGAACATCCAATAAAAGATGCTGTTATTGGTGAAATATAATTACTATAAATAAAACCTATAACAATTGATAAACAACTTTCATAGAAAAGAACAGATGCCCATAAGGCTAAACCATTATGATATAATAATCGTGTTAGCCAAACATCGACAAAACTTAAATAATATAAAAAATTAATTTCTTTTATATTAAAATCAGATAATACATACAATCTTTGTCGTAAATAATTGTTTAAATTTTCCCATAATGATACATGAACAACAACTAAAATAATAAGTACTTCACATAATGTACCCACATGACGAAAGATTGAAATCTAATATAAAATAAAAACATATTAAAAAATAACAATTGCCATATTTTTTTTTCCTACTCCAATTCCATATTTATTTTTTGCAGCAGCTGCCAATTGAGGTGTATATAAAATAAGACCAAATGCCATATAGAAAAAACACCATTTATTCATTGCACATGGATGTTGATAGAAATAACTACCTGATGATGTTCGACGAAAAACACCAATTATTGAATATATAATTAATATAGCCTAACGAAATATTTATGAATCACTTTGAAAATTTTATATGTATTAATTTTACCTGCCAAATAAAAACAATATACCATATATATGATATACTCGAAGGTGATGGAGTTAATTCAGTCGGATATCGATTAAGAGATGCAATATAAATACCAGTTTTGAGATCATCTATATTATAAATCGATATATTTAATTAAGTAGATTTTCAATATGAATACATACTTGATGAGTAGAATAGATCTACAGAAATACGTTGACAAACTTGAATTAAAAAGAATATAGTCGATATACCCATATAAAGGATATGAATCCAATCATGTTCATACATGACAGTAGGTAAAACATAATCATTTTCTACGACAGCTATTTCCATTTAAATATCGTTCGTTTTTATATTTATGAATTAGTTCTAAATTCTAAAATCAATAGTAGAGCATGTAATATAATCAATCGCTTCTTTCGATTAGTTAGACGAACTATAGCCAATAGGATAGCGACGTTTGATGATGGCAGTACTCTCTATTGATTTCTGTTCTATCGGCTAACAAAATCCAAAATAGAAAAAGAATATTATCTATATTGAATTTTCAACAACATAAATAATCAATTAATTTCAACTGTATCATATTAAAATAGTTGATTTATTAGATGTATCATGGCTAGAATATATATACATATAAGCTTTTTATCTATTCAATTATGTCATCTTGGAATAGTCATCTGCTATTGTCGACATACGAGCAGCAGCAAGGGATATACCTCCCTTTTTCGGTGTTTCTTTCGTTCCCGTTGTTCTTGTAGTAACCGGTTTTCTCGTTGTTACAGCGGTATTAGACATCTTTTTATCTTGAAGCAATGATGTAGGTAGTTTTCGTTCAGTAGCATCGAATGTAAATGCTACATCACAAAGAACATCAATTGTAAATTTTGCAAAAGAACCTGCTTCGAAACAAGTAGGTACTATATAATATTCTATTCCTGCATGTAAACGAACTAATTTTGATACTGATCTAGCTCGTCCAAATGTTGCTTCATCGTTATATGTATTCGAAAGAATATAGATACCAATTGGATGATGTTGAGCAAGTGGAACATCTATTTCAAATGATTGATGAAGAATTATTCGCACGACAGATGTACCTGAAAGTGTAAGAAGATATGCAGGATTCTGATAAAATGTCATTGTATCGGATTTAATTTGTCTACCACCAGCATTTTCTTTATGCCATTCTCCATGAACAATTTGAACAGGTTGTTGAAATGCACTTGTCCATGTACGTAGTTCTACTTTTGGTAATGTTTGTTGAGAAAAAAATTGTAACCAAAATGATGTGTTAATATTTGGATAATAAGTTGATAAGATAGCTGCATATTGTTGACCTTGTTTAGGTTCAATATTAATTGTAACGATTACTTCTCGTTTATTCCAAAATTTTGATTGACAAACTACTTCATAATTATCTTGAGTAGGTATTGGATGTGATTTAAGTTGAACTACTGTTATACCTATTTGTGGATAATTGAGTTTAATATCTGTTGTTGTTCGTTCATTTCGTTGATCAATTGAATGACCAAAGATGAGAATCGTTTTCTTCAAATAAGGTAAAGGTAAAAGAACAAATGGATTTCGATAAAATGTAGCATAATTTGTACAACCACCATTAGTTAATGCTGTCCAATTACCAAATAGATTTTGATAGGGTTGAACATCTAAATGACATATTTGAATACGATTACATGATTGTTTAAGTTCAGACCAAGTAACAAGTTGAGTTCCAGGTGTATTTGACCATAATGGATAACTTTTAGAAATAGACGCAAAAAATGCCTAGAAGAAAAAGAATAATAATAAAACCTCTTATTTAGATTATTTTTTACTTCTCGAGCACGACTATCTTCGTCACATATATGATTAATTCCATGAGGATTATGAATAACAACATATTTTTCTCGTATACGTTGATAAATAAAAGTAGCTAAAATTGCATAAGCATGATTAACTATTAGTCCATTAGCAGTAGTTGTTGTGGCTGATTCATTTGTTCGAATAGCTCCACAAGTAACTAATATATTTTTATTAGTTAAACCTTTTTCAATTCTGTTCCATAGATCTGTATCATTAGGTTCAACTTCTTCAACAGGTTTTCCTAATAGATCATATAATGCTTCAGATGTATTTCCACCAATTAAATTTTCATATCGTCCACCATAAAATTGAGCATAGGCTTGTTCAATAATATAAGGCCATTGAACATTCATTACAGTTGAACGACAGTATTGATATTCATCTGTTAATGATTGTAATATTATTGGTACTTCAATACGTTCACCTTGTCGATAGAAAAAACAAATAAATGATGACGAAGAAATAATTGATTTAAGTAAAGATGGTTGACATGATGCCAATGCTTGAAGTGATGCAATAAGAAAACAGTTTCCTAATCCACCTTGTACAATATCACCATGATATGGTTCACGATCTGTTGGCCAGACATTAATAGACATTTTAATAAACAACTATAAGAACAAATAACATAAAATCGCGGAAAGTTAAAACTTATATATATATATATAACAATGTTTTTATTTCTTCTTATCAAAGAAGTTCTTCGAAAGTATAAGTATTATAACATTTTATAATCGAGAATCATATCATTATCATCACTATTGTAAATTCTTGGAAAGAGCAAGAAATCCGAGAATTAAAATATATGATTGAGTTCATTGATACTAACATACCTGTCTTATAAATATTAAAAAAAATGAAAGTACGTTAATTTCGAAGTTTCTTTATTTGTCTGGAATGATGATGAATGTTAGGAAAGAAATACATATGCAATATTGTATAATTTTTCATCATGCACTGTAGTAAAATTAAAAAAACGAAAGCTATTCAATGATTCACTTGACGATTTCTCCTGTTTCTTCAACAAATTTAAAGCAACAAAAATGTTGAAGAAATATTATAAGAACGAAATTCTTTGTTTTTCTGAGTCATATTTCACTCTCCATGCTGTTGTTCTTTTCGGTGCTGTCTTTCATGCATCAAGATAATATGAATTACGATATTTATTTTATGACGCATAAAAGTAACATTTTTTGATTCTATTTCTTTTATCTTTAACTCCTTTTTTTATGATAGTTTCATATAAGATCATAACAATGTATTATACAATCACCTTTTAATAGATGATAATGCATTTCATCAGACAGCTTAAAAACAATGTATATGTTACAATGTCATGCTAAATTCTATACATAGTTTCGAGACCATAATTTTCATAATCAAAAGCACATCTCAATATTGAAAAAAACAGAAAATAATTATCTTCTTCGATTCTTAACTTTTTCTCTCTTTTCAAAATAAATATAACACAGAGCAAAGTAGTATATGTTATTATATTGTGTACGATATAAGATGTTGTGATAATTTATGGATTAAAAGAAGAAATACTTTATATGATAATAAATTTCTCGTTTGATAGAACATCTAATGTTATATGTCTGTAGTGTTTAACGTCAAATATGATTAGAAAAAATCTACATATACCAAAAAGATATAGTTAAGGCGACATCTATCAACCAGTGATTCTCATATATTTTTGATATAGTTTGAATCAATTGTAAGTTGATTTTTGTAGATCGCTTCCTTTTCAATAAACTTGTACAATAAAGTAATTGATATACAATAATGGTATATCGTTTATTGTAAGAAATAACCAATATGTATATATATCCTAGTATTTCATGTGATGAATGTATAGTACCTCGATTAATCTATTCTATTATTTTCTTTTCGTTTCTTTTCGACTATATGTATATATATATGATTTTGATTTTTAAGACTAACACGCACTTCAATGA